TTGTAAAGCTTTACAAAGACACTTGAATATGATATCAGTATCACATCACTCCTGTAAAATCTAACCCCGCAAACAATAAAGTAAGTCTTAAAAAATTGACTAATCATAGTCGATTATTCTTCTCACTCTTTGACTGTGATCAATTTTTTAAGGCTTAAGACTTACTACTCTATCGTGTTTGCGGGGTAAAGAATGAACAACGATGCTAAAATTATATTAATAACTCCATTGTCAAGATAATCTATCTCTAAATTTATGTCAACTGAGTAACTTGAATTAGTAGGATAAGAATTATTTACCTATTTTAACCTCTACGAATCATTCTTTTTGTTTATCGAATGTTAAACAAGGACAAATAATGCTCACAAGCGTTGTGGACTTTAAGTCGAACGCACCTTTAAATGACATAACCATTACTTGCCTCATAAAATAATCACGAGTTTCCTTACTCTTGAGAACTTTCATAAAACGATTCATCTTGAAAGTTAAATGTTCGTTTTTAGAGGAAGAGAAATTGCTTATATAAAAATTTGATGGGTTTGGACTTCAATTGGAATACGATCTATGGAGAGCACTGTAGCGCACAGTGGTGCACTGGTAGAGATCAAGGGACACGTTAGAATACGTGGCAAGAAATAGAGAAGAGACGCATTAACCGCACCAAATGCTGGTCTTGGTTAAAAAAAGTCTAAATAATCAATATAAAATTACATAATTATAGGCAAATATATATAGCGTATTCGAGGAAACATGAATCGCTCATAATGTTTTAACGCGTTCATGCCTGCATGCAGAACAATGATCGATTGAATAAAGTCGAAAGTCATAGTGATTTCGATCACTTGATTACTTTTTATTCGTTAGTCTTGGTCATTTTAATTATTCTGGCAATATTGACAGTCAGAATTCCTCAAGAGTAAAATTTGGACACCACTTAAACAATTTTTCATTATCTTCCATATTCTACAGGTATGCTCCAAATGATGTTGATTTGACTATTGATAAGATACTAGAGATCATGAAATCAGATTCTATCTTGTTAGAAGTTTGTTCTTTTGCTTAAGCAGGGACCATGGGACCTTTCTAACAAGCGACACTGGCCTAGTTTTCACTGAGGGTTTAAACCGGAATGTAAGAGAATCAGTCAACTACAGTCGAGTATTCCCCTGTTACAATCGAACGACAGGAGAATGCTCGACTGTAGTTGATTGGTTCTTACATTTTGATCCGGTTTAAACCCTCGGTGGAAACTAGGCCACTGAGCGACACAGCTTGTTTAATATTGGCTGATTACGGTGTAAGAATAATAGGTGATTTTCTCGTCTATTTTTGCCCAGAAAAATTGATAAAATTGAGGCAATTTAGACACGTAATACTACTAGAGGGCATAATACTCTGAGATAGGGATCGATCTCGGCAAAAGAATTGATTTTTTTAATCGAGCCGAATCACAACTGTAAATATCGATTTACCAAAAAATCGAGCACCAAAAAATCGATTTAGCGGAAATCGATCTAAATGATCGAAGCTAATTGTATACTGTAAACTTATAAACAAAAAATTCAATGCACACGCGCATATATCTCTTGTATTATTTATATAGAATGAAATATATACGTGCTCTTTATTCTTTTTATTTTATTGCACAAGTTTAATCAGGTATATCGCAACCAATACGATGGCAAGATTTTAATCTAGCTAGGGAATCCAGCAGGAAAACAAGCATCGTGTGCCGCAGGCTTTAGAGTGCATTTATATTGAACAGAAAAGCAGAAGCCAATCAAAACTTGTGCTGATAACAAATGGCGGTACAGCGTGAGTTCAGAAATACGTTCAGTGAGCTTTACATGATTGGCATATTCCATTAGATCTAAAAATATAAACCAAAGATACAAGAGCTCAATGAGCGTTCAATGAACGGTCGTGCTTCTGGATGCACCTATTGAATTCTGCTTTTCTGTCAAGGTGTGAACGCACTATTAAGCCTGTCACACATGAAATGCATAACAGGCATAAGCATAACATAAGACCGCTGAACCAATGAATATCTTATGTAAATCAATATGGCGATATATGCTGTATGCTCATTGGTCCAGCAATCAACCGTTATATTAACATTGATTTGACGTTGATCGATTAACCATTAATAGTTTAATTAGAAAACCAGCTTACTCCCGATATATTTACGGTATTTATTGCTACTGCCATTGTAGACCACGCATTAGATTAGATTCGCTATCGGCCTTACGGTCTGTACCGTGATTGGCCAATTCGCTTACTGACTATGTGTTACGGTCTTACGTTTTTGTATGTGCCACGTTTTTGTATGGGCACCTTATGGAAGATGTGTGCCATGGCCTTATGTCTATACGTAAACCAGGTCGTAAACGTAAGGTCGGTTCTTTATTCCTGCATCATATGCAGTTCAAATAGTGAATTGGGCGTACATGGAAGATCGATCTCGGATCTTAAGAATCGATTCGTCGATTTAATCGGAGCTTAAGAATTGATCTAAAAAATTGAGAATCGAAGGTAAACCAATCGATTTTCTAAAAAAAATCAATCTTGAATCAAACATCCCTAGTCTGAGATCTAATGGCCTTAGTAATCTTTCCAATTCATAGCAGTTTAAGTGTCGTTCTTTTTGGCGTTTCTTTTATGATTAAAATCTGCAGCATGTATCTTCCACAACTTTTACGATCTTCCTAATTATTTCACCAATCATGTGTATAAATAAATGTAATATAAATAATAAAATTATTTATTATTATGTCACTTATCTTAATCTTACTTCTGTCTCTTGAAACTTCACAGAAAAAAATGTTTTATATATAATTATATATAATTACATACATTTATATATAATCTTTTTAATGTATGTATAATTTTATAGTATAAAACATTTTTCCTGAGGCTTATGAGGTGTTATACATATACGCCACCTGCTGTTTAACTGCAGAGTTTTCTCAGGAAAATCACAGTGATTTTACATGAGTGGAATTACCTGGTATTCATAGTCGATTCTTAGATTTAAGACCGTCTTAAGTATAGTCTTAAGATGTTACGAATCAGAGAGCCGCATTACCGTCTTAAGACGGTCTTGGAATAAGAATCGACTGTGAATACCGGCCCTATTATTCTTACACTGTGCCCCTGATATTGGCGAATAAGGATGCAACAATTCAGGTTGAAATCTCATGACATGTATTTATCGCGTATCGCGTAACCGCGTAATGGCTCCGGCACACCAGCGATGTTAGTCACGCGCAACACACGATATCCAATGACAGTATACCTTTAGAATGATAATATCGGTAATGCTGTACACTCACTTGAATATCACGTGTCACGTGTGAACATCGCGCTGGTGTGCTGGAGACATAACCAATCAGAAGCAATCCGTTGTTGTGGTTTCATGTTTTACTGATTGGTCCTGACGCAATACGCGGCAAATATGCCTCACGAGATTCAATCTTCACCGTGTCAGCCTTAGGTGTCAAAGCACTGTTGCCCGTTTGAGGATTCGGGCTCACACCGTGTTACTGTATGTCTCTTGTTGGAAAGCTCTCTTAAACAAAAAACAGAATTGTATTAAAATATATTACTAAAATCTATAAAAAATGCAAATGGCAAATAATTATTATATAATACCACATGTATATATAAGATCTTGCACACAATAGAAGGAATAAGGAATAAAGAATAAACGATTTTAGAACCTCAGAAATCAGATACATCGGAATACATGGTTTCTGATAAGTTGAAATCGTTTATTGTATTCAATTGTGCGCAGGGCCTAAGATAAAAATATTTTAGAGCATCATTTAAAAGTTGACAACTGTGAGTCAAACTCTGTGTTTGACTATGGTTGCGTTCAACAAACTTAACAGTTGAGTAAGCGCACGCTGTTATTGGTGTATTCTTTTAGATCATCCAATCAGTATTTTAGATCTAAAAGAATGCATTAATAACAGCGAGCATTCACTTAACTGTTGAATCCGCTGAATGCGCCCTATGCTTTTCGGTTGTGTCTAATCGTGCCGTGGCGAATCGTTGCTGGAAAGCACCATGTTGGACACTGTGGTGATGTGTGTTACTCATCATATACATGTAAAATGGAGTTGGATCACCGATGGGGACAGAAAAGCATTGTTTGTTTTGTCTCTCGGGGACTGCTCAAGGTCGCTCCGAATGAACCCAGCGTGAAATGTAGGATTCACACTATATACGACATCCGTCATACAACATCTGACATTCATTGTTACAATGAATACATAGTATGAATCCTACATTTTAAATACACTGGATTCATTCGGAGCGACCCCGAGCAGTTCACAAGAGACAAATCGAAGATGCAGTCTATTCAAAGTGATAATATTTTATCTGACAGGTGTCTGTATTGGTAGTTGCAGCTAGAAGCAGATACAAATTAGCATTAGCAATTTCGTATGAGAACGCGAACGTGGTGTAGCAGACAGCGTATTGGTTTGCTATACTAGAGATCCCGAGTTAGATCCCCGGCAGAACCGAAAAATTTTCGTATATTCGCTCCTCTCGGAAGGCAATACTAAATCGAATAATATACTTGATCAGAAACCTTCTTACCAAAAATTGCCGTTCGGAATCGGCGTTTAAATTGTAGGTTCCCATATACGTTGTGTACGATCAATGTGCGCGCACGGGTATATGAGAGGGAGACGCCTACGCGGTTGAGATTAAAGTATGGCATTTGAAAAAGAATTTTGTATTACACACAAAACTGACTGCTGACAATTAGAAACCGACAATTAGAAATCCTATCCGTTTCTATATTATTTTGATTGTAATTTACCAGGGATGAAACAAATTGCCTTCTATAACACGATAGCTATCCCTCTTTGTGATATTAAATCCTTTTCTAATTCCTTACTTAAAAATTGGCTAAACAAATAACGAACTTTTTTGACAACAAATTCTAAATTGATAAACTCCTTTTCGCAAAAGATATGTTGCATTGTAAAATCCACAGTTTGTTATATTTATTTATCTTCATCAGTGAGAGATAACAGCGTAAATTATTATTTTGAGTTTTATGTTCGCAAGAATTATTGTTTCCTTAATTATAAATGATAAATTGTTATCTTTCTTTTTTTTTGGATGTCTCATGTTTTTAGATTGTTTTGCATAAAACATTAATCACGTGCAACATTAGTTTTTTTTGTCTTTACAATGACTAATACACTTTCTGAATAGGAGAAAGTTCATTGAAAGAAAGTTTTTCAAGTTCTGCGTGAAGATCATGAAAAATCTCATTTGACATCGCTTTTGCGGATGATGATATGTGTGTATATATGTGTCATATAACATTTATAAAATCCGAAAAAAGCTTTGACTCAACTATTTTGAAAGAGATATTACATTCATAAAAAATTGGGCCAAACTATAATTAATTTTGACTTTTTGATTATCCGAAATATAATTAAAATATGAGTTCAATTGATCCTACGTTTCTATATAGTTTTCAGTTTTTTTGGACGTGGAAGAATAGTAATATTAGTAGTTATTCTTGAGGTTTGCACGGGTGCTTTCTATATAAAAGTTATGCGTTTCGCGAGTTTCCTCCGTGTCCAGATCTATTCATGGAATAACGTTTCGTGAACTTTGCAGTCCACTTCATCAGGGCAAGGAGCAACCTGATACTGAGCTGTTCCTCCGAGTTGTTCCTTTTATATTACACTATTTATTAGAGGTGGTGGGAAAGAAGAGAATTGTGGGTGAGGGGGAGGGAGGAAGGAGAGAAATTGGTCGGTCTTTAATAACCGGGGGTTTTCCATATTTTATTTATGTTATAACCATTATCTCTGTTTAGAGATTGTTAGGGTGTTTTTGTATCTCTATGGCTTCTTTATACTTTCTTGGAAAGTATGAAGTAATGTTGGCTATTGTGGTCGTTTTATCAAACAGTATTTGATGTCCTGTTTCGATGTTGTGTTCTGATAATGCTGATTGCGTGACGTGCTTTAGCCTGACATCACGTTGGTATTCTTTTATCCGTAGGTTAATCATTCTCCCGATTTCTCCAATGTATACTTGCCCGCAGGAACAAGGTATTTTGTATACTCCTGTGGAGCTGAGTGGAGGTCTTTGATCTTTAGGATTTCTTAAGATTTGTCCTATTTTTTTGGGTGGTTTAAAGATAGTTCGGATATTGTTTAATATCCTGCCAATTCAATCTGTTGTTCCTTTGACATATGGAAGAATGGATAGAATCCTTTCGTCTGGTTGTGTGTCAGAGACCGTTATCTTGTTTACATGTTTATTGATTGTTTTAATTATGTCTTTTTTGTCGTGCCCATTTTTCTATAAGGCTAGTTTTAAGTGTTGAGTTCTGTAGATGTTCTTTGTCAAAGATGGTGAAAGCTCTATGTATAAGTGAGTTGATTGTGTAGACTGTTTCTGTGCTGAGTGATGGTGCAACTCGGCATGTAGGTATTTATCTGTGTGTATTGGTTTCCTGTACACTTGGCCTAAAGTACCATCAGTTTTCTTAGAGACAAGAACATCTAGGAAGGAGAGTTTTCCGTTTTCCTCTATGTCTATAGTAAAGTGAATATTTTGGATGTTGATTGTTGAGGAAAATAAGGAATTTACAGAGTACGGCTCTGCCGTGTCTTCATATCACAAATGTGTCGTCTACATAACGAAACCAAATTTCTGGTTTTTTAGATGTTTTTCTGAGGGCCTCTCTTTCAAAATGCTTTATGAAGATGTTGGCGATTACCGGAAAAATAGGAAAACCCATTGCCGCTCCTGAAGTTTGTTCATAAAATTGGTTGTTATAGAAGAAGTAAGTAATTGTTAAGCAGTGTTCTATAAAGTGGGAGTCGGAGGGGACTTCATGTGAAGCCTTTATTATGTTTAATGTATCTTTTATTGGAATTTGTGTGAAAAAGGATTCTACGTCGAAACTTACAAGCAGGTCTGTGGGACGTAGTCGGATTTTTTGTATAAAGTCCGTTGAGTTGGTTATATGTGATTCGGATTTTCCAGGGAGGAGTTGTAGTGTTTGTGCTAGAAAGCGGGATAAGTTATATGTCGGGGAGTGGATAGTGATAATCGGTCTGAGGGGATGTTTGTGTACTTTTTTTTTGGTAGTCTTAGTGGGAGAGGATTTGTAGATTTTAATGTTGATTTGGTTTTACTAGGAATGTTGCTTTTCTCCATTAGGATCTTGGTGTTTTGTGCGATAGTATTAGTATGAATCTTTGTCAAGCTTTTTGTATGCTTTGTCCGAAAGAAGGTTTTTCATCTTTAAAACTTGAAATACGAAGGCTTTACCGATCCGAGTGTTAAGATGTTGAACTACTATATAAATTTAAATAAGTGTATATTATATAGTAGTTCAACATCTTAACACTCGGACCGATAAGGCGCTTCGTATGTCAAGTTTTAATATAAACGGTCTCGTTTCCAATCATATTCTTTTTTATCTTTTTTTTATAGTGTATTCATGACTACTGTCGTGTTGCCTTTTTCGACTGGAAGCACGATGATGTCTGTGTCCCTGTTAAGGTCTTGGAGTGCCAATCACTTTTGTCTAGTGATGTTTGGTGGAGGGGGTT